GTTTCATTTATGCATATGTATTTTATTACTTGATAGTGAGATCGTTTGCCGCCATTGGTTTTGTATTCTTTTATAGTCTGAAAAAGCCTACTTTTATATTTCTCTTATTCTAAAATGTTGGTACAAAGATGAATTTGCAGATGCGATGATTAATGATGAGCCATTTGTTAGAGAAAAGTCATTGGAAGACAACAGTTCAACATCATCCTTGCCTTCTTTTTTGGACATTGTTAATTCGTGAAGTACTATGCTTATTGAACCTCCAGTACAAACTACAGCAAAAGCAATTAGCTATAAACAATCAATTAAAGGATCATTACTTGGACTTGCTCATAAATATGTAGAATTGTTTAATTATGATGATTTGAATGATTCAGACATTTTAATGGAAATATTTAAAGAATGGATGCATATACATGAGAAAGGACAATGTAACAAACAAACCATAGAACAGAACAATCAAGTAATTGAATCTGATCAAGATACCGAAACTACACAACTAGATATTCAGAATCCACTTAAACATATTAGAAAAGGGTGTCCTCCTAAAAGACAAATAAAATCAGCAATTGAACAATCAAAAAAAAGTAAACATTCAGCTGATACTTCGTCCTGTGCTTCTCGTCAGTGTAGTATTTGCAAAAGTAAGGAACATGATAAATGAAATTGTTCTAACAAATAATGCAATATAATGTAAATGTTATAGAATTTCTTTGTATAATGTAATGTTATAATTATGTCAAATTGATGTAGCAAATTAATGTTTCAAATTGATATCAAATTAATATTTTAAATTGAAACCTATCCTAATAATAATTAATAAGTATGACTAGAATTGCATAGTTATTAACATTTTTTAAAATATTTTCAAGCAACCTTTTGAAAATCAGAACTGAGTTAAGTATTCTTTTTCTTATTAAGATTAGGATGACTATAATATAACTAATATTTTCTTTTTTTATATATTTTAGATGCGAATAGTATAGGGTTTAATTTTCTAAGCGTTTCCTTTTAAAGATTAAAATTTAGATGTGCATTATTGTAATTCACTTTTTGTATCGATGTTCAAAGCCATATAGAATTTACATTTTACTTTAAGGTTAGTGAGCACTAGCAAAGTTTATTTTTATATTAAAGTTACCATAGGCTATAATAAATTAATTTTATTTTTTTTTGGAATTAGACTGTGCAAGCAGTATAAACTTCTCCAAACATTCACAAGCATCTCTTTTTAAAGGTTAAGGTTAGGGTGAGTACTGGCATAGTAATTTTTCACATTGTTAAGGTTAGAATAAAAGGTGGTTATAGAAAATTATTATTTTTATTCTTTGTCAAAATTGTGCAAACTGTATAAATCTCTAAACATCTACAAACGTCTCCTTTTAAAGGTTAGAGTTAGGGTGAGTAATAGCATAGTTATTTTTACATTGTTAAGGTTAGGATGAAGAGTGTTATAGAAAATTATTATTATTATTATTATTATTTAGAGTCAGGATTGTGCAAGCCATATAGAACTTTAAATATTTACAAACGTCTCCTTAAGATTAGGGTTAGGGTGAGTACTACATAGTTTTTTTTTGCATTGTTAAGATTAGTATAAAAGGTGATTATAGGAAATTAATTTTTTTTCTTTTAAATTAGACTATGCAAGCTGCGTAGAACTTTTTTAACTTATACACCTTCATTTAAAGGTTAGGATTAGGGTAAGTATTAGTATAGTTTTTTTTGCATTAAGGTTTGAATAAAAGGTGATTATAAGAAATTAATTTTTTTTTTCTTTTAAATTAAACCGTGCAAGCCATGCAGAACTTCTCTGAACTTTCACAAGCCTTTTAAAGGTTAGGTTTAGAGTGAGTACCAATATAGTTCTTTTTGTATTGTTATAGTTAGAATAAAATGTGGTTATAGAAAATTAATTTTTTTATTTTGAATTAGACTATGAATGCTATATTGAACTTCACTGAAATTTTACAAACACCTTATTTGAAAGTTAGGGTCAGGCTAAGTTCTAGCATAGTTCTTTTTTATATTGTTAAGGTTATTATAAAAGGTGGTTATAGGAATTTTTTTTGATTCAGGATCGTACATGCTATATAGAACTTTTTTAGGATATACAAGACTGTATCAAATTTAAACTCTTAAACACACCCTTTTACAGGTCAGAATTTGGGTAAGTTTTTTGTTTGTGATAAGTTCTGGGTTATGAAAGCTGTAGATTAAATAATTTATTTAA